TCTCTCCGCTTCTTCTGCTTTCCATGTCTATCTCTCGTACTCTTACCATGAGAACCCATATTTGAGAGGTATCTCTCTGCATAAGTGCAATAAACATATATTCAATGAGCGTCACTAGAAACCAACGTCTAAACCCTAGAAACATTCTCCATTAAAAAAAAAAAAAAACACTCAGTTCCACACATATATACGAAATTCCTCGTGAATTCAGATAAAATTGAAGCTAATTAAGCAATTCAATGATAAAAATCCAGACCCACGAATTCAATTTGGGTAACAACTCAAGGAACGAAATGGAAAAGCTCATTATTCAAGTTTCACCAGCAGTCAGAGAATCTAAGCAAAACTATCGAACCAATAAACAGCAGACGGAGAAGAGAAATCACATACCTGGTTGGAGACGAAGATCTGATATCAATGGCGGCGAGGGTAGTGATTGCGGCGTCTGCGCGACGGTGGCGAAGGCGGCGGAAACTTCTCCTCCCCGATAATTGATCGGAGACAAAGCTACAAGAGTAGATATTGCAAACAAGGGTTGAGATTAAGAAGTTTTCGAGTATTCTCAGGGATATTTTCGTCATTGGACGTCAGTTCTTTAAAAGGTGCTTAGGAATCGAACCGACATCGTTTTTCCATTTTAATCAGATGAAATTTGTTGACCATTCACCCGGTTAGGGAAAAATCGACTGGTTAAGAGAAAAATCGACCGGTTAACAGAGCCATTTACACCGATTGATTATGTTGTTGGATGTATAAACCGTTGGCACGGCGGATAATCGCTCAAACATAGTAGTTATTTAATATAGAAGTGTATTTTGGTATATATTATTCAATGTGTACTAGAGTATATAGGAGCTAAACAAACAAAACAAACACAAAATGTGAATTGTTCCCAATTGGTGCTATTCTTACCGATGATAACATATAGGATCAATGATCTAACAGGTAATTACTAATTACCAATCATCGGTAATAAGCCATGTGTCTTGATGATCTAAAAGGAGAGTTATCGAATGGAGATGGTTTCCATGCTGGTACAGGCTTCTTTTTCTTCTTCTCGAGTTTGGTTTCAGAACGGAGCCACGATTCTACCACGGAGAGGAGGTTGGGTGCAGTTTTCAGCTCGTTGATATCTGCCATGTTCGATGAACGATTCAACTGACCGTCCTGAATGTAGGCCAAATGTGTAGCCCATGTCTCTAGCCCGTCGAATATGTGAGTTGCATACACAATTGTAGCTCCTCTCTGAATTAATCAATGTTGTAAACAATTCAAAGATCATCCAATAATCAAACCACTGATGCACAATAACTTATGGATAATAAACTGCATTTACTCATCTCATTTTTAACCACTATGAAACTCTCAAGTGTGATGGACTCTGAAATCCGTCCGAATGCTATAAAACCGTATTCTTTTGGTTAAGTGTGAGCATTAATCTTCCCAACTAACAAGTGCTCTAGAACTCAGTAAGTGAACTATAGAAACCGGTATAAGTTCTGATTGTTTTTATATTTGCAACTGCATAATACAAGTATGCTACCAGTAACCTTTCCATTTTCGGCGTTATACAGATCAAAGACGTGCAAGGATCTGACACTAGTTATAGGAAACAGCACATAGCAGCAACGAGAACCAATATGAAAAGCTTGTCCTTGAATGGTTTAAATAAATTAATAGACATAACACTGAAGGTTGAAATAAATTAATAGAAGCAATGCTTAATTTAATTATCTGTAACCTCCATTGCCTCACAAGCGACTAGAGTATCTTCTTGAGCAAGGGTCTTGGCTTTTTTGGACTTCCTTTTCTTGACAGATTTAACCTCACCATTCTCCTTAGCAACATCAGCAGGTTGCTTCTTTGTTGGCTTTCTCTTCTTCTCTTTCGCTACAGCAGTTGTCAAACTACTGTTCGAATCAGCAACTTGTGGATTATTTGCAGCAATTGTAACCGATTTGCTTCCCTCACCAACTTCAATTCTCTCCCCTATTTTAATGCCTATGAAAAATTGTACATACAGTTATAAGTGTACCCAAGATACATCTGAAAATGAGAATTCGCAAGTCTTACACCATAAACGAAAAAAGAAAGAAAAAAAGTGTACCTTTTGTTGTTGGTTTCGAAAGAAAACCAACTGGTTTATCTTTCACACAATCTTCTCCACGTACATCCCGACTCTCATTCACACCATCTTCAAGTTGCAAAGTAGGTGCAAGATCCTTCTTCTCTTGGTCACTTGGTATCTTTTCTACCAAGTGTGAATGAGAGTCGGGAGAGAAGATACCAAGTGACCAAGAGAAGAAGGATCTTGCACCTACTTTGCAACTCGAAGATGGTGTGAATGAGAATCGGGTGGAGAAGATTGTGTGAAAGATAAACCAGTTGGTTTTCTTTCAAAACCAACAACAAAAGGTACACTTTTTTTCTTTTCTTTTTTTCGTTTATGGTGTAAGACTTGCGAATTCTCATTTTCAGATGTATCTTGGGTACACTTATAACTTTATGTACAATTTTTCATAGGCATTAAAATAGGGGAGAGAATTGAAGTTGGTGAGGGAAGCAAATCGGTTACAATTGCTGCAAATAATCTACAAGTTGCTGATTCGAACAGTAGTTTGACAACTGCTGTAGCGAAAGAGAAGAAGAGAAAGCCAACAAAGAAGCAACCTGCTGATGTTGCTAAGGAGAATGGTGAGGTTAAATCTGTCAAGAAAAGGAAGTCCAAAAAAGCCAAGACCCTTGCTCAAGAAGATACTCTAGTCGCTTGTGAGGCAATGGAGGTTACAGATAATTAAATTAAGCATTGCTTCTATTAATTTATTTCAACCTTCAGTGTTATGTCTTCACTTTTTTTTTTGGTCACGGAACTCAGGAAGTTAATATTTTAAGTTGATTATCGATAGAACCATGTAAGCAAATAGCGTATATATACTTAGGAACATACGAGATATAAAAGAGGTTACTAATAGAATTATACCTGATCACATTCTTCTTTGAAGAATTCCAGCAAATCCATCCTTGCAACAACGTCTAGGTCAACAGTGACCTCGTCGAGTAATAACACCTGTGAACAGAGCATGAGAGCTTTAAAAATTTGTAAAATCAGATTAAAATTAGTGCCAGAAGTGAAGAAAACACAATCAGAAACCAGTTCTCTTTTGATTAAAGCAAGAAGAGAACATAACTGACAATGATCATGTGAGATTTAGAGTTTATGAATAATAACCTCTTTAAAACCATATTCTTTTTACCTTGAATGGATGTAAGAGTCCCATGCATATCTGCACTCGGCGTTTCTGCCCATCAGAAACCTTATGCATACGCCAATTAAGATTGATATCAAGAAGATCAATCAATTTCTCTCGTCTCACACGATCAGTTCCTTCAACTAGTTGGACAAGAAAACGAATATCTCACCCTGAAAACGGAGAAAAAGAAGAGAGAAAACAAACCGAATTACAGAACATCACTGCAAGGGCAGAGAATATCACCTCCAAATATCATATGTTCAGCTGAAAAGTCTCCCTGGAGAGGAACCTCACCCTAAAATGAAACAGAACCAACAAAATAAACAATCTCAGATCGATAATGCGGTTGATTGATAGTAGATTAGTTACTCTTTAGGCAATAGAATTCTAGAAAGATCTCACAAAAAGCACGAGAAATGGAAGCAGAAAGAACAGTAAGGAGGGACTACTCACAGCTGAACCGACGGTTTTACTCCATGAGCCTCCAAGATAAGACAAGTCACCGCTGCAAACAAGCTGAGTATCATGGAAAGCCGAACGGCTAAGAACTTGTACAACGTTCTTTCCTCCAACCATATGCTTTCCAGCTAAAATCTTCAATAAGGTGGTCTTGCCTGGAAAAAAGAGAGTTCCAAAGGAACACAAGCCTTACTATTCCAGAAGAACCAAATGCCTCAAGCTAATTGAGCTAATTGCAGTCATGTATTTTTCAAAAAACCCATCCCCAGAACCCGAAATCATAAGACTGGCACATAGAGATTCTGTAATTGCAAAGGAACAGAGCCAATTTCATAATTCCTTACTGTGAATAAAATCAGAAGAAGCATATCATTAAAACTCCCGATTATAGCACAAATCAAAAACTAGCAAAGGCGAATCGCTAACCCAAAATCTAAATTGAGCTATAGATTCATAGAGCCCCACGAAAGCAAGCGAAAATCTTGACTACAAATCGATCATCGTACCAGATCCATTGGCACCAACCAAAAGGCAGCGAGATCCAGCAGGAAGATCGAGATTGAAGTCGAAGAATATAGGATCCTCAACTTCATAACCAAATTCCATACCGCTTACTCTAATGGCATCATCATTACCACTCGCCGTCGCATGTTTTTCCGCCATTTTTCCCCCTCTCCTAGAGCTCGAGCTGTCTGATTGTAGTTGGTTTGGTAGAACCGAAGTTGCATAAATCTACGGTCCTTTAAATATGTTTCGTTTCAACATTAAAATCCACGTAACACCACTAAGCATTCGCCACGTCAACTGAATCGTGAATTCTGGTCAAACGTTTTGACTCAAACCACTAAACCGATGACGTTTTGAATCTCGCTTGAAATTCTTGATCATGAAATTTAGCATTTAGTTTTCATAATTTTGAGACATGCGAAAACGTAGAAAGAACATATTAAGATATATCTTCAAATTTATATATTAAAAATCTTCGTGATCCAGATGATTTTTGAAAAGAAGAAAAAATTACAACAGGGAATGTTGGGGTTGGTTACAAAGAAGAAACACACATGAATTTACCAGTATAACATACATTATAAGAAACTCAGATTGCTGTTTGCCATTGTGTCTAGTGTCGCTGCCTCTAATGTCTCTTGCTCTCTTGTCACAAGACAGATTAACAAGAAGATGAAGCCGGACGGGTCCAAGAACATAAATCTGTTGATCAGAAAGCTGCCCAACCTGATGCAGTTCCTGTTGACTTGGTTGGTCCTGATCTCGTTGTCGAGGGAAGATTCTTCTGCAGAGTACACAAAATCAAGAATAACTAAGAGTAAATTTAAGAGTAGAATCTAAGAACAGAGCAGATCTAATGTTGTTGTCGGTTTGCTTACCTTGAGCTGAGATAGATCAGATAGAGGATCGTTCCTGCGTCTTGTGTTATCCATTGATTCCTTACTGCTATCAGATGCAATCCTTGAAGTGATGGGATCATTTGGAGGAGGCGGTAAAGGAGACCTGGTTTTTGTAGCAGCATTTGGTGGCGGAGCAAGTGATAATGGTTTAGGCTTCCCGTTACCTGAAAGCGCAGCTGAGAGCATCCCAGTGCCATTTGTAGTAGGTTTGGGCTTAACGTTGATTCTAATGGTTTCGCCTTCCTTGAAACCCATCAAAAAACCACAACAAACTTTTAAGATTCCATGGAGTTTGGCTCAACTTAAAAAAAAAAGGAGGCTCTTCTCATTTCGCCAAGAAGGTATTTGATTCAAGAACAAGTAAACTAATATGAGCACGAACTCAATCAAAATCAAAGTTCATTCTCTGCTACTGGGAAGTAATGATAAAACAAACTTGAGATTCTGAACTATATATGAAGACTAAACGAGCAAACGGAGAAATTTAGTAGCATCAATTTGATTACACAACTCATAACCCAGGACAGGACACTAAATATCATGAACAACAACATCGATCACATCAAAAACCATTCTTTTATTTTTAATCAAACAACTGTGGCAAAAAAAAAATCAGAAATTTAGTCATCCTAAAACCTCTGCACAAAGCATAAAAACTACAGGAACATTCTAACTCTCTGGCCATCTATACACCAAATTACACAAAGAAGGAAACTAGAAAAGCAAAATGATCAATTCACTCACAACCCTTCAATCTATTGCATCGAGGAAATCCCCTGATTACTCAGTGTAATAACCAAGACCAAATCTTTAAGCCTACGAACAAGAGAAGATCTACTGCAATGCCAATGATACTACAAAACTCATCTGAATGAATCAGCTTCACATTCAATTTGGCATTTTTGTTTTCAAGCATAGCTTCAATCTAGTTTCTACAAATAATCAAATTACGCATAGATCTTATCTTAATTCCAAAATCTTATGAACAGATCAATTTACCTTCAATCTGTGATTAACTGCAGGATGGATATCAATATGACTATCGCTCTCACTCGATTCTCCTGTCTCCTTCTCTTTCTCCCTCTTCACATACTTATCATGATCCGACAAAGCGACATTGAAATCAAACGCCTCATTCCTCTCAGCAAACCCTAACCCAATAAACGCATACTTCCCACGCCCATCGTCGATCCTTAAAACAAAATACCTAGACGAATCAAGAGACGGCTCGACGGAATTCTCTCTCCGGCCAGGATCCACGAAACAAGCCGCGAAAAGATCGCCGGAATTCGAATCCTCGAGACGGATCTCGCATCGATCCTTGCACGATACAACGCGGAGTCTACCAGACCAGATCTTATCGGACTGAAGCCATTCTCCGCACTTGTATCCGCCTGATGTGGTTCGAGGCGGGATCTTGTAGACGGAGACCTCACGAACCACGAGAAGTGTATGCTCCAATGTCTCCTCTTCCTCTTCTTCCTCGAACGACATCGAATTTTTCTGTGTTACGGAGAAAAGACGTGTGTGAAGGAAGCTTTTGACGATCGTAGCGGAACTTCGGAAACTTAACGAGACCGGAACC